ATCAAATACTTATTTCACACAATAAAATGGAAATTAATTATTTAAAAATCATACATTGTATTTTTCTGGATTTTTGTTTTAGATTCCATCACTCACAGTTGAAGAGTACCTATGATAAAAATTACAGTCATCTACAAGCTTTGCAAGTGGGAAAACATGAAAAATCAACAGTCTATCAAATACTTGTTCTCCCCACTGTAATCTACTATCTACTGTTCATAAGTACTCACATACTTATATATATATTTTTTTTCTTTTATATAGCTGTTTATACCCCTTCATATTATAACCTGTTCATAGTCTGTACACTCACAAACTGTATATATTTATACCTATAGCATATTCAAAGCAACTTACTGTACTATATATATCTTATCTTACTTATTGTACTATACATATCTACCAATTTATTTTTTTTGCTAAGCACTTCTGGATAGATGCAAACTGCATTTTGTTGCTTTGTACCTGTGACATGTGCAATGACAATACAGTTGATTTCTATTCTATTCTATCCTTCACGTACAAAGCTACGACACAACTCCAACATGAAACAAATAAAGTGGGAGGAGCTCTGATTAATAATACTAGCTGCAGCTCAAAGGCTACGGCTTTTTCTCATATTACACTAAAACTTCTATAGACAAGTTACACAACAAACTTCATGTAATTTGTCTTTTGAACAGGTTGAAGCCAGATGAGACACATCTGGAGCCAGTTCTAAATGAGACCGTTTATGGTTTATAAATTACAGTTCATAAGAGTTTTTGTGCAGGTTTGCACAGGTTTTGAAATTTTGTTAAAGATTTACTAAATATGAATCAATATGGTTAAGACTGTGAAGTCTGTGTATTTCATATTAGGTTAAGTTTTGAAAATATAACAAATGTTAGAGCAATATGGTTAAAAATAACTGAAGTCTGTATTTTATGTAGAGTTAAAGGTTAATGTAGTATGGTAGGCTGAAGTCTGTTTACTTTTATATTTATATATTTTGAATTATTTGTCTGTGATGGACTGGAGACCTGTCCAGGTGTCCCCCCCTTCTCACACAGTGATAACTGGACATGGGCACCAGTGACCCCCCGTGACTCGAAAAAGAAGAAACGGGTAAAGATGATGGAAGGATGAATTATTTGTTCCTAGATTTTTATTTTAGAAAAATCCAGGCAGCTAAGCTAACCTATTACTGGGAATTTAAGTTACAGAATTTTATGCACTCGTATATTTGTTCCTATTTTGGTATAAATATAAAACGATGCAAAAAGATTTGATACAGTAAGAAACCTAAAATTATTGTTTTAAATAAATGTTCTGTTTACAGTGTTTAATCTTTTCATCTCGTCAGTTACATAACTGAAACTAAATGTATGACCATTTCAATATAATTTTTTTAAATCGAATCGTGACACCAAAAATCAGAATTGAATGGCCAGACACAGATTCACACCCCTCGTTTATAAGACTGTTTGTTGCAGCTCCTCAGACTGAAAAATGTGGTATGAAAGTCTTGTTAATGTGACACACCCACCCAGATGTGTGACTTCAGACTTAACCAGGAAGCTCACCCAGGTCATTAATGAACCACCAGCTTTCTGGCTCACGTCTGAAACAAGCTTAGCTTTTCAAGCCACGGAGCGGTCGTCTGCCTGCATGAGTCCTCGTTTTACATAGCGTGGTTTCTGGTTCTTACCAGGAACTGAGATCAGACAGGGTGGACACGTCTGAAGACAGCATGGTGGTGGTGCCCTGGAAGAGCCTTTTAGGTTGACTCTCTGTCTCCATCTCACCTGCTGAGGAAACAGGCCACATGTTAAGAATGCCTTCAGTAGCATTCAAGTCTTTTCCGAGCAGACTTGGAACAGTTTTCTTTTTGAGTGCAGTTAGTCTTCTGTTTGCCACAAAACAGAGCCACTGAATTATGACGAAAATAAATCGATAGATATGGATACATACTGTAAAAATAAAAGAAGAAGTAGTATACTGATGTTCGCAGCCGCTGGGGGATTTAAAGAGTCAATGATCGTAGTTTTTGAGTTGCTTTTCTGGACTGGAATTGAACACAGAACTTTAGTAAACCTTAATATTTTTAGTGCAAGATATTCAGATGGGTAGGAGTTACACGGTGTAGAAAAACAAGTTGTTTTTGTTTTGTTTTGCTTGTCCGAGGCAGTGCAGAGGGAAATCCACCACCAGGAGCAATGGCGTAACCAAAAGGTGGCCTTGGCCACCATAGATGAACCCCATGGGCCTCCCCAATCATTTGAGGAAACTATAAGCAATGCAAAAATTAGAAAACATGTTTCTGCAAATGATAGGGGTGATCAGTTTAACATACATGGGGGTGGCCATCTTGGATTTTCAATTCATCCATCCATCCATCCATCCATCCATTATCTTTACCCGTTTATTCCATTTTGGGTCATGGGGGTCACTGGTGCCCATGTCCAGCAATCACTGTGTGAGGGGCGGGGTACACCCTGGACAGGTCGCAAGTCCATCACAGGGACACATAGAGACAAACGAGACAAACAACCATTCACTCTCTCACTCACACCTAGGGACAATTTAGAGTTACCAATCAGCCTAACATGCATGTTTTTGGACTGTGGGAGGAAACCGGAGCACCCGGAGAAAACCCACGCATGCACGGAGAGAACATGCAAACTCCACCCAGAAAGACCCCTGGACCGGGGTTTGAACCAGGGACCTGCTCGCAGAGAGGCAGCAGCTCTACCAGTTGCGCCACCATGCTGCCTGATTTTCAATTCAGTTTATTTATATAGCGCCAAATCACAACAAAGTTGTCTCAGGGCACTTTACAGGAACATTCACATACAGGGGCGGCTGTGGCCAAGTGGTTAGAGCAGTCGTCCGCCAATGCAAGAGTTAGGGGTTCGAACCCCACAGCAGTCACATGCCAAAGTGTCCCTGGGCAAGACACTGAACCCCTTGTTGCCTCCGATGTGTGTCCCATCAGTGTATGAATGTGATAAAGCTCTGATTAGTCTCATTACAATGATTTGTTCAATTAGCTTTGTAGAGATCTAGTATAGAGCTGTATGAATGGGTAAATGAGGACACAGATTGTTGTAAAGAGCTTTGAGTATCTCAATAAGATAGAAAGACGCTATACAAGTACAGTCCATTTACCATTTACATTCACATAAAAGCTAATTGGGGAGTGGAAGTGCAGAGGTTAGAGAGGTGGGCTTGTGATCCAAAGATCGCCGGTTCACGCCCCGGCCCCGACAACATCAAAAATTGTGGGTGGGGTAGGTGAAACACCCCCATTTGCCCCCACCCTCATTCGCCCCACTCTGGGCCCATGAGCAAGGCCCTTAACCCCCCCACCATGTGCTCCCTAAAACAGGTCTCTCTTGAAAATGAGTTCTCGTGGCTCAATGAGACTAACCTGGATAAATAAAGGCTAAATGAAAAAAAAAAAAAAAAAAAAAAAAAAAATTAGTAAAGTTCTCTATCTAAGGAATCCAGCAGACAAGTTGAATCTTGGCTTTGTTGCAGTCTCCCATCCTGAGCAAGCACAGTGGAGACAGTGGAAAGAAAAACTCCCTTTAACAGGAAGAAACCTCCAGCAGAACCAGGATCAGGACAAGAGACCATCTGCTTTGACCGGCTGGTTGAGAGGACAGGAAGGAGAGACAGACCAACACAGAATGGTAGGTCCAGGTGTAGGTCCAGGTGTAGGTCCAGGTGTACCAGAAAGACAAAACAACACATGTTAAGGATAGAAAAAATAATTACAAATACAAAACAGGTTGAGCAGAGTAAGTAAAGACAGTAGCAGAGTGAAAAGTGTGGTCAGCTTGTCCTCCAGCAGTCTAAGCCTATAGCAGCAGAACTAAGGGACAGCTCAAGAAACCCAAGCCGACCCTAACTATAGGATTTATCAAAAAGGAAAGTCTTAAGCCAAGTTTTAAACTGGATAATGTGTCAGCCTCACGACAGAGATTGGAAGTTGGTTCCACAAGAGAGGAGCCTGATAACTGAAAGATCTGCCTCCCATTCTGTTTTTGTAAATTCTAGGAACCACAAGTAAACCTGCAGTCTGAGAGCGAAGTGCTCTGTTAGTAAAATATGGAACAATAAGATCTGTAATATAAATGGACTGTACTTATATAACACCTTTCTATCTTATTTCAAGATACTCAAAGCTCTTTACAACAATCTGTGCCTCATTTACCCAGTCATACAGCTCTATACTAGATCTATAGAAGCTAATTGAACAAATCATTCTAATGAGACTAATCAGAGCTTTAGATCACATTCATACACTGATGGGACACACATAGGAGGCTATGAGGGGTTCAGTGTCTTGCCCAGGGACACTTTGACATGTGGCTGCTGGTGGATTCGAACCCCCAACTCTCGCATTGGAGGACGACTGCTCTAACCACTCAGCCACAGCCGCCCCTGTAATATAGGATGGAGCCAGGTTGTTGAGAGCTTTGTAGGTTAGAAGTAAGATTTTGAATTCTAATCTGGATTTGACAGGGAGCCAATGGAGAGAAACTAAAACTGGAGAGAGATGATCTCTCCCAGTAACTCCAGTTAAGACTCTGGCAGCAGCATTTTGGATCAACTGAAGACATTTTAAAGAAGTATTTGGACACCCAGATAATAAACCATTGCAATAGACCAGTCTAGATGTGACAATTGCACGGACCAGTTTTTCTGCATCATCTTTAGATCAGATGTTTCTAATGTTAGTGATATTACGCAGGTGGAAGAAGGAGGTTCTAGTAACGTTTTTAATGTGGGGGATAAAAGACATGTCCTGATCAAAAATAACATCAAGATTTTTAACATTAGAGCTGGAGGACAGATTAATGCATCTAAGGAGGGAGAAAGACTGAAACATTCATTCCTAAGGTGCTCAGGTCCAAAAACCAAAACCTCAGTCTTGTCTGTGTTTAAAGTAGAAAATTAAGGTTCATCCAGGTTTTTATGTCTTTAAGACATGCTTGTAGTCTTAAGTAGCTGATTGGATTCATTGGTTTTAATGGACAAATATAATTGTGTGTCGTCAGCATAACAATGAAAATTTATCCCATGCTGTTTAATAATTTTACCTAATGGAAGCATATATAAAGTAAAGAGTACTGGCCCAAGCACTGAGCCCTGAGGAACTCCATGACTAACTTTGGTGTATGAAGATTTATTATTTACATTTACAAACTGGAATCTATCAGATAGATATGATTTAAACCATTTTAGAGCTGTTCCTGTAATCCCAACATCATATTCAAGCCTCTGTAGTAAAATATTGTGATCAACTGTATCAAATGCAGCACTGAGGTCTAACAGGACCAGTAGAGACACCAGTCCATTGTCTGAGGCCATGAGAATATCATTAGTTACTTTTACTAGTGCTGTTTCTGTGCTATGATGAGCTCTAAACCCTGACTGAAACTCTTCAAACAGATTATTTCTTTGTAGATGTTCACGCAACTGACCTGCAACTATTTTCTCTAGAATTTTTTAGATGAAAGTTAGATTAGATATAGGTCTGACATAAGATGACATCACAGACATGCACCTATTTGGTATTCAACATGGTGTCGAGGAAGAAGCGGTCTAGCGCGTGGCTCTGCTTCACAAATAAAGACGAAACCAGGGCTACTTGCAACACATGCAATGCGTCGATTACAACAAAGGGCAGAAACACTTCTAACATGCAGAAGCATTTGACCACGCAGCATGTGGTTAGTTTGTACAAATATACCGTCTTTAACACGCTGCTTGGTGGTGGCGGTGGAAGTGCAGCTAACAAAGTGTCCTCCTCCGTCTTAAATGTCGTAGCAGGTAACGTTAAACTCCTCCAGGTCCTGTCGACTGTTACCTTTTTGCTGTCCTGCTTTCACTGTATTGTATAAATAATCTCCATCTCCTGTAATAACATTTAGTTGACGAGGACTGCCGGAGTCTGGCTGGCTCCGAGGCTGGTGCTAGCACACCTTTAGCTTACCCTTTCATCCAAGCAGGGAAGAGTAAAATGTAAACGTTTATATTTTTGTTCAGTGTGTTTAATTGTGGCCGATTTCTGTTTTGAGACCGTTTCTTGTTGCTCAGTGTTTTTCATGGTGAATTTCTTCTCAAGCTGTCAGAGCTGAGAGACACAGAGGCAGGCAGAAGAGGATGAAGATGATAACTAGGCAAGTTTTGCTTTTTGTAATGAAAGATGATAGATTGCATGGATTATGACACCATTTCATTTAAAACTGAACCTTGTGAATTACAAGTTGTGGTTATTGTCAATAATTTCAGACACCTCCCATAAAGCAGCCAAAAAGAGACAGCCCTACAAGAACTCTGTGAAGAAGAGGACAGCAAGCTTATGTCAGTGCAGCCCCCCCCCAAATCTCCATAGCTCAGAGAATGCATGGAGAAGTCCAACTATACAGAAGCCTATCACCCATTCCAACCAAGGACAGCCCCACCCTCTGCTGGTGGATCAAGAAGGACACACTGCCCATATTATCAGCTTTAGCTGAGAAGTATCTCTGTGTAACAAACATCCTCCACCCCTTCTGAGAGGGTGTTCTCCACAGCTGGAAATACTATAAGTCCAGAAAGATCTCGTATCCTTCCTCAGAAAGCAAACATGTTCATTTTTCTGCACAAAAATTGCTAGTTTGCCAAAATTTAAAAGTGCAGTTGTGTTTTAGGATGATGTGTTAATAATGTTAATTAGGAATTATTTTTTCATACAAGTTCTATTTTTGTTCTGGTGAAAGAGCATTAAATACTTCATGCACACAAATGGTGTACT